CTCACCAAGCTGATCCAAAACATTGCCGACCATCGTCATATGGGACGGAAAGTTGCCATGTGCTTTTTCGACCTCGAGAAAGCTTTCGACACCGTGTGGCACCGTGCATTACTTGCTAAACTTTCCAAAGTTTTCGGTGTGTGTGACTCAGCGCTGGAGTGGATTACAGACTACCTATCCGACAGAACGCAAGTTGTCTTTGTAGGTGGAACTCTCTCAGATGCTTCACCTGTTCTGTCCGGAGTGCCCCAGGGATCCATCCTAGGGCCCCTCCTTTTCCTAGTGTATATAAATGATCTTCCCAGTCATGTTGAAGGTGTGTCCTTATTTGCTGACGATACTGCACTGCTCCGGTTCAATGAGTGTCTAGACAGGCTGCGAGACAGTCTCCAGCGCGGTATCAACGAAGTCCATCAGTGGATGACTACCTGGAGACTAAGACCTAATATCGCCAAGACTGAGATATTATTCCTGCCGAACTCAGAGCCAACCTATGCATTCACTCTTCCCGGATCCCTCACAGTCACAGACCTCACAGTGGTAAAACAACACAAACATCTTGGTTTGGTCATTGACTCAGACTTATCGTTTAGTAGACATGTCGACTATATCTGTAGCAAAGTCAGTAAAGCTGTAAGCTACCTCGTGTCTCACTGCTCCCACTTACCGCTTGAATGCATTCGCCTTTTTTATCATTGCTATATTCTCCCCATTTTTCTCTATTGCTCAACCGCCTGGTCATCCCTACTTAGTAAATCGTTAATGAGTACCCTGGAAGTCCACAATAAGAGGATACTCAAAGTCCTTTTCCGCAAACCATCATACTTTCCTTCTGCCGAGCTGTATGATATGTTTAAGGAGGCTCCAACCCTTTGGGGGTGATTTTTTTTCTTCATAAACCCTCTCCTTTTTGTGGATGAGTGTGCTCTATATCATCCCATGTTACTCCACAAAAAAATTCAGGGGGTGTTTCAGCGGAGATAAGGCTGTTTGAGGTGTATTTCTAGGGGTGGGTGTATTTATCGATTTCGGCCTAAATTTGCTTGTTTTGGGGTCATATGTCAGATTTACCAGTTGTCTGGCTTCTCTTTGTGATTGCAAGTCCTTTCACACATCACAGTGAAGCATTTGAGCAAGAAAATCTGGCAATCAGCATTGACTACTCAGAAAAATAGAAATTTTGGTACAAAAATGAACTTCGCAGAAATGTCCGTCCGCAAAGTACAATTGGGTGCACAGCTTCATATTTTCTTCATGGACATGCCCTTTTAACTTTATTTTTGGGATCCTCATACTTCATAGAAACTAGAAATATATAATTTTAGGCGGGTTACCGTGCATTTTAGACCTCCACAAATAAAAATAGGACAGAAAATTGGCCGATTTTCCACCATTCTTGGAATTGTTATTTTTCAGGTAAGGTGATCATTCTATTCTTTCCTTGTGGTATTACTCCAATTTTTTGTGTCAAAAGCATTGAATGGTCCCCCAGATTTTTATAGTATACATGGAGACTAGATGAGGCCATGGTTCCTGGGCTTTTTAGCCCTTGATCTGGATATCGGCATGATCCATGCACAACGTTATTCATGATCCAGGCCAAGGCCTACTGACCCTGAGCGCAGTTCAGACCAGCTTTGCATCACAACTCTTGCAATATTTCACTCCTAGTATTTCTCATAAAGCAACAGGCAAAGAGCTTGAGGAGGATAACAATTATTATATTCTGGGGGGGGGGGGGGGGGGGGGCAGTTTCATGTTTGTAGTACATGTAGAATGTAGATGCAGGTTCAACTCAATATTGGCAATGAACGACTGCTAGTAATTGTAGCACCCATTAGGTATAATCATAACACTATTCCCAATGACATGGAACAACCACAAGTGAATGTGGGTGCATGCGCATTGCACACATTGATACATACATGTACGCTTCCATGCACATGCTCACAAACAAGTACCTCTTGCACACACAAATACATGTACGTCATATACGCGCACCCGCAATAGCATACACCCACATGCAAAATGCATGCTCTTGAGCTTAGTTACCATATTCTGCTGTCCATGCACTTGTGCACACACACACAACATGCACTGCGCGCGCGCGCGCGCGCGCGCGCGCACACACACACTGTGACATGTAGGCTCACACGCGTGCCTGCGTATGTGCATGCACATAGTCCTTATGGGTACAGGTGCATGCATTCATCATAATAGAACTGGTGCGAGTAGTGTAGGAATATTTTCAAATCACTGGTGCTGTACAACACAACATTTACAAAATACTTCACACTCTGACAATAGAGAATAGTACACTGCAAAACAACATACTCAATTTTCAGTGCTGCATTTTATTCAAGTGGACGCAGGTGATGACTTACTGCTGGCGACGTTGGCAGCTGACAGGTCACAGCTTTCGTAAATAGCCCAAGTCACTGAGCAGTAGCTCACCAACGATTTACCACTCACTCAAGACTGCAATGTTTTCAGCGTAGCAATATATTTCGCCACTTGAGAATTAGAAGTGGATCCACTTACCAGAGTCTGTGCACCCACTTCAATCTCTCTCTCCAAAACGCGCTTACAGTAGGTTTTGGTCCCTGGTGTTACACAGCCATCGAGACGCTCGGCTCCGTTCTCCTTGGTCATTTTTTCGTCAAGCAAAATTGTTCAGGATCTAGAGAAATCGAGCTGTGAAGTCAACTTCTTGCTCACACCAGCGATGCTTTTGAAAACATGCCCAGATACCCACTGACACATTGGAAGAAAAAACAACAGGAACCTCGATGGGGCCCAGGGAAGACTACAGGTGAAGAATGAAACAATATTCTCTGATAAGACTGTCGATCGTGGAGTTCAAATTTTAGTAAGTTGAGATGGGAATTTCCCAACTTTTCGCACTTATCGGCAAAAACAAAAAACAGAGCGCCAGACCGGCTGCGCAGCGCAGAAGGTTGGAGCCTCCTTAACTAACACCTTCCCTATCTCTAGTCAAGCGGATCGAAAACTGTGTATTGTTGTTCATTCTATTCGTCTTGACAAAGCCCGCCACACTTGCGTAAATATAACTGGTTTCTTCCCACTCGTCCTACGCGCAATCCCTGCACTTTACCTAAGGCTGCACCCACACTAGGTACAAAACTGCGTAAACGCAACTTTTCTGCTTGTGTCGTCAAGGAAACGCGTACGAAACGCAAAACGTACTGCGTTTCGTTTCAGCAAACCGGGTACCCCTGTAGAAAGCAACTTTTCGCCTTTTCCTTGCGTTTCGCTCGGCTCTTCATACGGGAGATGTTTCTTGTTGAGGCTTGCACTGTGTCGGTAGTAGACGGCTTCCTTGTCAGTGCAGTTTGTAGTATTTGAGATTTCATCTGCCAGGGCTTTGCTTTCAGTATAATTTCCGGACAGTCCTGTTGCCTGCTGTTGTTAGTTCGAGATGCCGCGCAACTACATTGTATTTCGCTGATAATCTCGAATTGAGAAGCTCATGCAGCTTGGGGCAGCGTACCATGAAGACGAAGCAGGGCCAGATGACAGCCTGGAGCGGACCATCCGAGAGAAGGAGATGACCGAGGCCTCGGAACGTGTATGTCAAGGCGCTCGCGACTCTTTTTCAAACTACTACACACACACATGTAGTACAATACATTTTCACAGCGCTATTTTTTCTGGGACCCAGAAATGTAGACAAAACGCAAGGATTCCTTGCGCATGAAATGGCAGTGTGGTTGCGACTTTGCGTTATCTAAAAGCTGAACGCAAACGCGTACTTGATTTTGTACGTAGTGTGGTTGCAGCCTAAAGCCCGAACCTCAGCTTATACCAGATCTCCGTTTTTTGCTGCCTATTCTCTCTGGCTGGCCCTGCCTCTATCAGTAAAATCGTCTTGTACGCTAAAGGATTTCAAGGCCAACATGAAGCTCGTGTTCTAATAACTGCTAATTCTTCATCCACATTTGTTTCTCTTTGCCTCCAGTAATGTGTAATATTTATTTATTTTTGCTTTGTTTTTGTTTACTGCCATGGCTGGCTACCGCCCCCCTCCCTCCATATTGGCCTATATTCTCTGGCCACGGGAAGGTGAAATAAATAAATAAATAAATTCATTATCTGTACCGGCGAAAAAACCCTGAAATGTGTGTGTCTTGAGATGAATTTGGCATGGCAACATGCCTCTGAAATGAGGTTGAAATAATAATGGAACAGTCTCCAATAAAGGAACGTCTCCATTAATAGCACTGGGCAGAGGTACATTGAAAAAATAAAGGACCGTGCTTATATGAGAGATAATACGGTATGCTGCAAATACATGTATGCTGATAGCAATCTGCAACATAAGTAATCTATACCTCTATTTCCATTTTTCCGAAGCGGAATTCAAGCACTATCAGTGCTATTTTGAAGCTGAGAGTCGAGAGAAATACCTCAACTCTTCAGGTAGAAAACTGCACAGATTGGCAGATAGCCATGCATCTGAGTGCTGACTTAGCCTAGAACAGGAGATGTGTTCAGTGTTAATTATGGCAAGAAGAAAGCGAACGACACCTCAAAGAGTATGATTATCATGATGGCTACCCCTTCCCCTCCAGTACATTCACACGCGCATTGCACACGCCAATCTCTATACTACTTTCAATCACAGCCTCTCAATATTAGCCCAGATTACCACTTCTCACCCACCTTCAGCTGATGGTCAGACTAATACAGCACACCATCACCCTGACACACATATCCTATCGAGCATGACTTGCCACATTTGCAACGTCTATCTTCCACGCACACCAACACCTATGGTTAGACTACACACCTACACCCATAACAATTTCCCCTTTCTCACCTGTATCGACCCGCAGCACTAACATTGCATAACTCCAGAACCACTAACTGAGAGACATTCCCACCTGCACCTCACTATCGTATCTCATCACCATCAGCTCCCTATTAACTCCTACCACCACCCAGATTCGTGCATATTCACTGCAGCCGTTGTTCAAAACCTCTGCATTTTGTTTCTGTTTCAACTTGTGAATTTTAGTCTTTGCCATGGACAATAGCAACGCAAGCAGGATGAGCCAGTTTACCTTTGATCAACTCGGTCACAGTGGTGTAGCGTCAAACCCCTACGCTCACGACGCTTTGGTTCCACAAGACCAATCACGCAGCGGATCGACACCATTCTCCTACCTACAAAATTTGGCGGCACCAAATCTTCAGCTTCAGGATCACCAGCACTATGGAAACTTGTTTGATGGAGTAATGTTTCCCCCCTTGCCAGAAGTCTCTACGGGCATGGGCTCCAATGTGAACACACGACTCGTACATCATGATGCGTTTGCGCCTTTGGGTGATAGTAAGTTGATGGCAGCACCAGCGCCAGCAATGGCCTTACAGCCAAGACGACAGCATCTCCAGCCGCCAAATATTCCTGGCTTACTTGACTTGCTACCAAGCCCACACGACCTCAGCCAGTCACTACCACAGAGTAAAGTATTCGGAAAGCAGCCGTCATTGAAAGAACCTGAAAATCCAGCGACAACATTCTCCTTCCACCAAGGTCAGACGGCACCGATCCTCCGCATAGCCTAATGCCGGATAACCAGCATACTTCCAATAGCTTGAGTGATGCAGCACTCTTTCCGTTCCCGCCACAAGTTTCTAAAGGCGTCAGCTCATTTGGAAATATAGGATTCCCTCATGATGTGTTTGCGCCTACTGGTGACACGAATGCGATGGTCGTGTCAAGGCAAGGACGACAATATATTCCAAGTTTACCGGAAATGCCACCAAGTCGTTGTCACGACCTCAGTGAGCCACTTCCACAGAACACCTGCCTCGGGCAGCAGCTGTCAATGAAAGAACCTGATAACTCAGCGACACCATTCTCCTTAAACCTAGGTCAAGCGGAACCACTCCTTCAGCCTAACCTACCCAATAGCTTGAGTGATGCAGCAATCTTTCCCTACCTGCCAAAGGTCTCTACCGCTATGCCCTCCGATGTAAATACAGGATCACATCATGATGTGTTTGCGCTATTGCGTGGTAGTGATGTGATGCTATCACCATCACTAGCAAGGGGCCTACAACAACAACAACAACGACAACAACATCACAAGCCGCCACTTATTCCCAGGTTGCATGTAATGCCACCACATCAACACGACCTCGTCGAGCCGCTGCCACAGAGTAACTTACTTGGACAGCAGCCGTCGACTAAAGAACCTGCAAAATCTGCCAAAGACAAACTAGTCTGCCCGGAATGCAATAAGAGTTTCTCGTATCCGTCGGAATTCAAAAGACACATATCGGTGCACACTGGCGAGAGGCCATATCCTTGCAGAGAGTGTGGAAAAACCTTCAAGATGAAGTATTATCTAAATATTCACAGGAGAACACACACAGGTTACAAACCATATATGTGCACAATCCCGGGCTGCGAACAGGCATTCTCACAGTCCGGCCATCGCAACCGCCATGTGCGTACCCACAAGGCGAATATCGAGAAGCAAGCCAAACGTGCCATTGGATGCAACTAAACAGACACTGCTCCAGCATCTCCAGTTCAAACACGACAATGTCGGCAGGAGCACCAAATCAGAAGATAACAGCGCCAGGAAATGCGGTTATAGGGGTGTACGTTTTTGTAAACATGCTTTCTGTGTTGGCGTGCACTGTGTGGAATTTGAGCAATAGAATGATCTGACAAGTGTGTGTGTGTACAAGTAGTATCCTGGCCTAAACTGCATTTGCTGCTGCACCCATCCTAACACCCTCCGCTATCAACACAGTCACGTCTTTGATTTATATTTTGCAAAACAGTATATTATGTACAGGGTATTATTGTTGTAGAACGATGTGTTGGTTTTCTGAATGATGAAATTTCCTGTGTCTCTTGTCTCGCGTATAGTTTGTAGTGGCATTTTTGGTTTTGTCGAGTTTTGACTTGTTTTGCTACAATGTCCGATTGTTCGTTTGTGGCTTTTTTCTTTTAGTGCTGCGGTTCCTTTTGCTACATGTGGTTGTTATATAATCCAATACTAGTACAATACTAGTATTAGAGAAACCTTGTTAGAGTTCACACATGTTGCTAGTTTCATGCCGTCAAACCAACAACATGTGGCCGTTGTGTATGTGGAACGCGGTATTCGTTTATTCCATCTACCGTTTATTCCATGTACCCGCAAGGTGGCAACTGGAGTAGTCGGATACACACCGAGCAGAAGCAAGCTACCCTACGCTACGGATGAGGTAGACAAACTCTCAGAATTGCAGAGGAAGCTGCGTATGGATCTTAATAGCACACCAAACATGAATAGAAGAAATGAGCTGCGAGTGCAGCGTAACAGAGTGCAGAAGGAAATCCGAATCCTGTCTCGACAGCTGGCGTTACAGCATCTAGAGAGCCACATCAGAGAAGTGGAGTCGCTCAAGAACGGGCCAATGATGTTTGCAGGGATAAAACTGCTGAAACCAAAGTGCCCACAAGATTTAACCATTGTAGGCAACAACGGCAAGGCTGTCCTTGGGCCAGGAGAGCAAGCGGATAGAATAGCTGAACATTACACTGGGAAATTCTCTCCTACTGCTGCAGAGCCAGCGGTTACGCCATTTACAGGAACACCGAAACCCCTCAATAAACCGATTTCCACAGCAGAGGTAGCGAGCGCAATGAGTCGTCTAAAGAACCAACGCTCCTGCGGGCCTGATGACATATCGGCCGAGCTGGTCAAGTACGGAGGCCCTGCACTTGCGGAATGCTTGAGCAGCATTTTCAACGATGTATTCACTCAGCAGAGCCAAGCGTCCCTTGGAGATGGTGTACTAATCGCTCTGCCTAAGCCAGGTAAACCCAAAGGCCCCATGAAGAATTTGCGTCCGATAACATTGCTGACTACTGCCAGAAAAATCTTGTCTCTCATCACACTTAGCCGGATCAGAGCTGACGTAGAGCGATATATATCTCCATCGCAAGCCGGGTTCCGTCAGAACAGATCAACCGCAGACATTGTGTTTTGCAAACGGATCCTGGCATCAATTGTTGAACGCTTCAACACCACTATCTACGTGCTAGGGTTGGACCTGAGCAAGGCTTTTGACACAATAAACCGCACAAAGCTGCTGGATGTCATGGAGCAAGAGAAAATTGGAGACGCGGACGGTTTACGACTGGTTAGGTACCTGCTGTCTGGCACAGCGCTGACAGTTCGCGTGAACGAAGCACAGTCCGCACCTTTTGAGACAGCTCGGGGGGTCCCCCAGGGCGATGGATTGTCACCGGTACTGTTCACGGTTGATTTGAAGCAGCCCTACGAATGGTACGTGACCGACAGCCAGCCCGACCATCAGCAGACAACATTCTACCTGAAGAAACAGCTTACGCCGATGACGTAGACTTCATCTCCACATCAAAATCATTCCTTACCAGCGCCCTACCCGTCATCGCAGGCGTCTTCTCCGAATGGGGTCTTGCCGTCAATACCAGTAAGACTGAATGGACCCGTATTTATCTGGAACCCACTTTGGGAGATGCCACCTCTACAACATCTAGAAATGTCGGCACAACTCGTGGTAAAGAAGCTTGGCGACAGGTGAAGACACTCGGCTCACTGTACGGCTCCGGGGAGGACGTAACGCGCCGTATTGGCTTGGCGGCAGGAGCATTTGGAGACACTCTGAAGTTACGGTTCAAACACAACCTGCTTTCTACACCCATTAAAATTCGTTTATACAACACTTTCGTTCTACCAATCTTGACCTACAACCTTGCTTGCCATGGCCTGTCCCGTGCACAAGAAAAGCGCCTAGATGTGTTTCATAGGAAACAGCTGCGGTGTACCTTTGGAATTACCCACCCAGATGTCGTCTCAAATGCAGATTTATATGCTGTTACTGGCCAGTGCTCTGTATCTGAAATGGCCAAGCGGGACATGTGGAAGCTATTAGGACATATATTACGCCAGCCAAGTGACATCCCTGCAAATGTTGCTCTCACTGCTTTCTGTATATATGCTACCAGTCAGCCCTTTCGAATAGGTGCACCCCGCTCTTGCCTCACCACAAGTCTCCAGCGAGACGTCCGCCTCACACCTATCTGCATTTTTAAGCCCAGCTGCCTTCGTGATCTCGGCACCTATGCCCGCGACAGAAAACAATGGAGTAACATCTGCTCAGCCATTTGGTCTAGTACTGCTCTTCTTAAATTGGACCTTTATTAAAAGACTCTTCTTTTCTTTTTCATTTCGTTGTCCCACTCTCACACACACACATGCTCACAGTTAATTCTGCCGTCGTGAGTCCCATTCGGGACGGATACGAGAGTAATAATAATAATGTACCCGTTTGGATTTGCGAATTGAAATAAAGTAAACAAACAAACAACAACAAAACTCATTTGTGGAATGTCATCAAGGGGGAGGTGTGTGTATGGGGGAGGTGGGGGTGCAGGTGTACATGTAACTGTATTTCTTTTCTGTGTGATAATATTCCCCAAACTGTTTCTTGTCTCGCTTATATACGTGAGATGAGCATACGCAATTAGTGAGTTTTCAGTCTTGCCTTTTCAGTCTTCTTGTTCTCCCGTGGTAGTTGTTAAGACTGGCTTCACAGTAAAAAGACAACTGTCGCTGGGGAAGCCTTGGAAGTGTTGTGTGCAACCCACCACCTTGACCAGCATATACACAGTCCAACACCCGGTGAAAATACGTTAGACTTAGTTCTCTCCGACTTCACTACCCCAATATCAACCAACGTGCTTGCTCCCCTCGGCACTCGGCAGGCCCGACCATGCCATTTTGATATGCAACTTCCAAGCGGTTTCCGCACGCCACGATCCAACAACCTCTCACAAGTTGTGGAAATAGAACAGTAGGGAGGTTTAGTACCACGTCATCCGTGGGTACTTAACGTGTGCGTACCACGTGATACTCAGTGACCCACGTACAGACGTTTTCTGATTCACAACATACCGTGTATGGAGGCTCCCCCACGTTCCGCCAGAACGTTCGTGAAAATCATAATGGAACGCATTGTGCGAGCTGTGAGAGTACTCAGCTGAAGAAGTTGTCCAAGCACGAAATTAAAATATTTGATGAGCTTCTAAGCTTCGTCTTTGACCAGGTTTAGGCCTTTCGCTTCATGATTTAGTTTGTTCCGTGTGACTAAACACAACATTGCCAACATGGGTGCATTGCAGGAACTTTACGTGTATCACCCACGTTCCCGTGTTTACGATTGGCTACACGACTACCTGAGTAACCGCTGCCTAAAGGTGGTAACTAGAGGCCACGCCTCCAATAAGTACCCCCATCACTCCCGGAGAGCCCCAAGGAAGCGTGCTTGGCCCTACACTCTTCATATTATTTGCCGCCGACATTGACCAATGGCTCTCGCATGGTGTAACGCTCAGCTCTCTCGCCGATGACAGTATACCCTGTACAGTCTGATCAGACCAAAGTACAACCTCCTGGAGAAGACAGTATCCTTACAGACAACCCTCAGCAATCTTGCCGCATGAGGGCCAGCAATGTCGGATCCATGTTCTCTTGCTGGTTTTGGCTTTGTTGTTGTTGTTGTTGCCGTCGTGGTCGTCGTCATGGTCGTCGTCGTCGTCGTTGTTGTTGTTGTTTTCTCTTTCATTCTCAGTAGCCATGTGCACTTCTATAAAAATTAGGGAAAAAAATTAAAAAACACGCCGTGAACCTACATGAACAATGAAGGTGCCGAATTTTACACCGTCACATAATTCAGCGCTTTATACTTCAGCGCCAGCAAATAAGCACGGGATATCTCAGCGCCAAATAAATATCCATAATTATACAAACCGCTCTGTGAGCGGTTCTGAAAACCCTTTACTGGTGCTGCCCCGTCGTAAAAGTAAGAAATTAGAACTGGAGCATTGTCCCCCCAAATGCGAACAGATCCACAAATCGCGAATGACGGGACCCGAACGCACCAGTAGCACGAGGTCCGGAGGCCAGAGGATTACAGCAATTTCATAGGGTAACACCACCACTACTATAGTGCAGTACATTGCACATTGTATCAGTGGCAGTGTATTGCTAGTACACGTACAATTATCGACGACCATGGCCTATGGTCTGGACCAACGTCCCCATCTGCATCCACAGCTAGGAACCTCGTGCTTCTGGTGCGTTTGGGTCCTGTCATTCGCGATTTAGGTGGATCTGTTCGCATTTGGGGGGACAATGCTCCAGTTCTAATTTCTTACTTTTACGACGGGGCAGCACCAGTAAAGGGTTTTCAGAACCGCTCACAGAGCGGTTTTTATATGGATAATTTCAGTTCTTTTTCCGTTCCCTCCCCACCCCAACCCCGAAAGTAAACATGATGAGCACGCGTGCGATGTACTGTATGTAGCCATGAGACTGCAATAACACACTGATACATACCACCTCGCTACCCCGCACACAGATACACAAACACGCGGGTGCACACGGCCCACGCACGTGGCCACGCACGCGGCCACGCACACATACGCACATGCACACGACACAAACAGGAAATTCTTCATGTATAATGCCATGCAAAGCAGTGGCCACCATACTTCAGGAAGTCAGTTGTGAAACAAAATAATTCAACTACAACGTATAGACAAGCTGACGGCCAAAGCACAACATAGCAAACATGACATTTGCCCAAGGATTGCAGTTTGCAGACCACGCCATGGAAGCAGCGAATACAGAATGTAATATCATACAAAGTGATAAGCAAAGAAGTGGTCACCATACACCAGAAACTTGCAGAAAGTCACATATCCAACAGATAGAGAAGTGAACAGCAATCTGGTACAGCCCACACAAGACAAAGCTGACCTGATACTCGTCCCAGGATCGTAAGTGGCAGATCCGCTTCAATGCATAACATGCAGGTGTACGTTACACGCATGGACAAAATCTGACTGTGTCGCCAGCACAATATGTCATCACAAGTATGCCCCACAAGTTACACACCTGCACAGTAGAAGCACAATGAAGGCAACGGAAAAGTACGATGTGGTTGCTGAAGCATCTTCACACTTCAAATTCAGACTTCAATTTGGTCGTCACAGGATGATATACCTGCAAGATACAAGTGATGGA